TACAACAGTTGGAGCCGATGCACACATGTTGAACTCCATGGTGAACAGCACACTTCTTCGGTGGAGCTCATACTTGCGGACTGTTTTAAGCCCTTTGGTTCAGAGCCCTGGCATGCGCTGGGTTGCAGTTAAATCTGTAATGACATTGCTGAACAATTGGCGGCTTGTACCCGGTCTGCCTGACGGCGTGCTACCATCTTACAATGGCTACGAGAGTGGGTTCTGGTCTTGGGACACATACAAGCAAGCCGTCGGAATGGTGGACTTTGCCCCGCAGCTCGCCAAAGACCAGCTGCGCCTGATTGTTTCTGCACAGAACAAGCAGACCGGGCACATTCCTGACAAAGTGGACCGGTGTGGAAAAGCTGGTGGCTGTAGCGGTAAGCCGCCGTTGCTAGCCTGGGCCGTGTGGCAGATCTTCGAGGCAACGCGCGATTTCTCATTCCTTCAGGAAATGTACGATGCCACCAAGCAATTTCATTACTTCTGGTATTCAGCCCGAGACGTTAAGGGTGTCGGCCTGTGCTCGTGGACGGAGGGGATGGAAAGTGGCATGGATGACGGTGTCAGATTTTTGCCGCAGTACGCTTCCTCCATTTCTAACGCTTCCAGCCGTGCCACTTTAACGAATTAAAATTGTTCGTTTGCCAACCTAAACATGTTCCTATCCCCTGCACTTGGGCAAGGTCACTACCTTGGACTTCTGGTCCATTGATTTGAACTCTTACCTCTACAAAGACAAGCTGACGCTTTGCTAGTCTGGACACCTGTGCTTGAACGCATTCCGGAACACGTGACTGTGTTCTTCGAAGCTACGAAGAAACCTGATATCCTTTCCTTCGGTGCTGTCTGGAGCCATGACAGCTCAGGACATTGTTCGCAATGGCAGATGCGCTTGGCATGGTGCAGGAAGCCCGGGACTGGAAAGCAGCGGCGGAAGCTCTGTTGCCGAAGCTGCGTCAGACGTTTTTCGTTCCTGACGGGAGGCCGAGGTTTCAGTGCAAGAGTGCAGCCTCATGCTTGGTAAGCATAGTGGCTGGCATTGGCAGGCATATGACCGTGATAGGCTTCTGCGGTAACCAGCCAGCAAGTAGAAGCCAAGTGGTCTCAGTTGTTCGATCCCTTGTTGGGCAATAGAAACCAGCAATGCAAGACTGCTGTCAGCACTTTCCAAGCCTCGAAGGCTTCAAGCATGTTTCTCACATGTGAGGGAATGTAGTTCGGTCTTCTGCTGACTCTCAGGGCTGGCTTCTTTTCGGACGTGTACTTCAATGGCACAGCGCGGGCCGCAGATGTCAGTTGTCGTTGCATGGTGGAACACAGCACTGCAAGCTACAAATGACGGTCTGAGTTTCCACCCGAGGCATTGCCGATTGAAGGTTGTGAAGGGTATGCTGCCTTGTTTGCGGGTGTTGCAAACCTGTCGCAGGCCGGACGCTCATCATGTCCCAAAGAGTCGAAGAGCACACAATGCACGCACGTATGTCCGTGTGTCTGTGTTTTCTTCTCTGTGTGCTTGCTCGTCTCACGTGCAGTGGGGCATGCCCTTCAAGGAGCAGCAAGCTCGTGCGAAGATAGCGCTAGTAGTAAGCTGTCGATAGGTGATCGGGGTGAACCCACGGATTCTTTCCATATTGGCCAACACCGTCAAAGCAGGTGCTAGCCAATATAAAACGTGCTATGATGGATGGTTACAGGCCATGCACTTTCGACCTGCTAGACTGTCTGCCGAAACGGATCACGTCTTACTTGGCCCGGCGGTGCTGCACTGGTGCGCAGTCCAAGGTAGTATGATGTTCTTGAAGCTGTTCTCTCAGTGCTTCTGTCGCATGGGGGTGCTGACAGAAGCAGGACCATTGCATCAGCTTCATGGTTTGTTGCTCGTGAGATCTGCACCCTCAAGCACACGTGCTGGCTCTCACAGGTTCATTGAGCAACGCGGCACATCCTGAAAGTTGGAAAAGGCCATCGAAACTGGTTAAATGGACTCCCTCATCAAATCAGTCCTTGCATTAGGGCCGGGAAGGGAATCAAAGCGCGCTAGCGGCCCCGAGCTCTCAGTTGCTTCGAGGCATCCGAGGCATGAACAAGCGGTTTATCTTTCTGCGGAGACTGGTGGCGTCGATGCGACGCAAACCGGGCCCGGGATGGCACCAGCAGGGAGATTTGGCCATGGAGAGCGCAATATGTCCTGCGGAAAGCAGAACAAGCGACGATGGTGACTTGCATCGTGGGGAGTCTAAACCACCAGATCTTCGGGCTTGAGCGACCGGTTTGATGGCAGGCGAGCCCTTCTGACGATCTACTTCTTGTTGCTTTTCCAGAAGATACTTGTAAGGTGTAGAACAAACAGCCAAGAGGCGGTGTAGAGACAACCAGGGCTGGCTGCGCCCTATTCCTCCGCCACGGGCAAGCTATTATTGTTCAAGACAGGCTTCGAGGCAAGGTGGATGTTTACAGGGTCCTGGCAATCTTGTCAGGCGCTTCTAGTCACTAGTCGCGAGCAGGTGGTCAAAGTGTTTCTTCCCGAGCTCCGTTTCGTGAAGGCTCAGCAGCCTCTCCAAATGAGGGTGGATGAGAACACGGCTGCCCTTCAATCCCAGGGGGAAATATAGGTTTTTGTTTAGTGTCTTCTAACACACGCCGGATTGGAGCTGGTGATGGTTGTCGCAAAGGGAACCTGACATGCCGTAGCAAGCTTATGCAAGCTTGAGACGGTTTGCGCGCAGAGTCCACCATGGATGAGCTGTGAAAGAATGTGCCAGCAAAGAAAGCAAACAATGAAAGAGCATCAAGTCTGGCAGTCCAAGCCCCACACACCCAAGAACCACTCCAGGAGCGGCCCTACCCAAAACTGTAAGTCCAAACTGCACCCCAGACTTTGGCGGCAGATTTCCAGACCGCATAACCGATGGGAGCTTCTTGCTGTGACTTCGTGTGCTTCCGCAGGGCCAAGATGAGCACGGCACTGTTGCGCCAGCACGATGTAATGGATTTTACGATGATTTCGAGGGACACGGCCGGCTCGCGAATGGAAAGAACGAGCCGATCCGTACACTCCCAATGTTCTGAAGGCTGCGCAAGTGGCCGACACGCTGCGAGACCCGGGAAAGTTCTTCCTGAACTTCAGCTTACCATCGGCTCCTGCCCTGGCCAGCGCCAGCATAGTCGCTGTGCAGATGTCCACAGCTGTCACGATGTCCAGTTGAGGTCAGCAAGCAGAATGCCTTCTACAATCCCCATGGCTACTGGAAAGGCTTGGGTGAGAGGCACTACCCGGTAGCTACTTGTAGGCAGGATGCAGTGAGGTCCCACATGGTTGGACCAAACATGGTTCGCGTACTCTGGGCTGCGGAGTTGCTTGGCTTCAGATTGGACCTCACCAATCTGTCCCAACAGTACAGAAACTAGCATCTTGAGGCTATGCTGCGGAAGCGAGGAGGCGCGGTGACGAAGATTCTGAGGCTGGAAAGCTGTCACTGCAATTGGAGATTGTTCCAGGGATGCGCCGGATTTGATTGAGGCAACTTTCTCTCACCTAGCCTCTGTTCTGAAGAGCAGAGTCTTCGAAAGGGGCCGGGGTTTTTCTGACAAGGATCAGCGGGAGCCCCAGTTGCTTTCAGCAGCGAGAGAAATCCATCACCTCAAAGTTGCCTGTGGTGTGGATTTGAGGACGCCACTTAACGAGCACTACAACCCGGAGACAGGAACATGTCAATGCGATGTATTGCCGTGTCGCAACATCCAGTCTCACGGCCTTTTGAAGCTGCGATTGCCTTCGAATTCGGAGGAGATCCTGAGGGCGCTCAGCACTTCAGCTGGACAGCTGCGCACACTTTGATGTGGACTTCAGAAGGCCATGCCGTGGCATTTCGGCTGCCAGCTGGTCTGTTGGAATGTATGTCTCGGGGCTGAGGGATCTATATAGCAGGTACAGGGCATCTAGACAGTTTGGAACTGTACAGATCCCAGTGTTTTCGTTCATTTCCCCCCCCAAGTTCTTCAGAGTCAGTGGCTGGCCCGTGAGGAAGAGCAGGAAATATGGACGTAGCACCTCCGCAATCGAAATACTCATCGAGGGCATCGCTTGCAAAGTCTCCGAACTCCGAAACAAGCAAGACGAAGGAGAAGTGAGCTCCGGAGCAGTGCCGTTTCAGCAACTGCCTTCGGCACCATGCCAGATGGCACCTGCTGAAAGGTTATTCGGTCAACCGCCAGTTCAAGCTCATGGCTGTCCCCCACGAGTGAAGGAGCCTTTCATCCGAACGCAGCCGCGTAGCACAAAGTGTCGTGGCATGTTTCCTGGGGGTACCGGGAAGATCAACCCTGACAAGCTGGGTCGCAGAGCCGCGAGCCATAGAAAAAGCACTCTTCCGTATTTGCGGACCCGAGCAGCTTGTTTTGCAAACGGATTGCGGCTTCAGGCTGCAAAAGGAGCCCCGGACCCATCAAGCATGCAAGCTGCTGCAACTGACCAGAAAGATAATGTGCCGCGGTCTCAGTGCGGCGGGACGGATGCGAGAGAATGCGGTGCTCCAGCTGGCTACTTCGGACCGGACGAGGTACCACATCTACTGCTGCGAGTGCCAAGCTGAAGCGCCAGAGCCACCGCCACAGCCCGCAGAAGAGACAACTCCTCCTGAGGAGTAGTTCTGTGCTACGCTGGTGCATGTTGCTCGGAGCCTGCGAGCCCCCGAATCCGAAAGAGACAATCCGTTCATAAACACGATGTGAAGATGAGCTCAATTCAGATTCCTCTCTTGCTGTGAACGCCTTGCAACTCCTTTCTGGACAAAACCTATGCGCTTGGTTGCCGGTTGCTTCCGCTGATTCTCAAGGTCGAACTTTACACCCCTTCCGTCCCACAGACCAGCAGCGGATTCAGTTGACCCAATCCGCAAACGTGAGCAACAGCTCTTTGACATGCCCACGTCCGCAGGCTTCATGCTTTCAAGCAAGTGCAAGTTTCAGCCGCATCCATGCAGTAGTTTCGCCAAAGCATGGCCAGGAGACTGCCCGTGCCCCAGAGGAAGGACTGCAACAAGTTGGTGGCCGTTGCCAGCTTCCCTGTTCAGGCCTTTGGAAGGCAAGGTCGTCCTGGTTCATGGCCAGACTCTTATTCTGCTTGCAGCTTGCAGCCATGCCTGAAGTCATGGCTGCCAGGGTCTCCCGGATTTTTGCCCCAGTTTGGGTCTGAAGCCAGACAGCCTGGTAGACGTTCGATGCAAACAGCGGAGGAACTCTGAGAGGAATAATGCAGCAATGTGGTCCTATTATTGGATGCAAGAACAGCGACCACGGCGACCAGTAAACCACCCTTGCGTGTGGTTCAGCATTCAATGCACCGACTTGCTGGGCATCCAAGCAATGTTGCAGTTGCAAGCGCGTTCGGGGCTGGGAACTGACCTGCCGTGACCTACCTGTCAATAGCTGTGCAACGAAGTGTCCCTTGCAGAGCAATCATGCAAGGGCTCTTGTTCATGCGTTCATGCAAGGGTGTGGTCGTATGATGGTCGCTTCCTGCTGACTCTCCAGGCGTGGACCCAGGGGCTGTTCGGTGCATAGATGCTGAAGATGACAGGCTCGACTGCCTGCTCGTTACCCAGTTGGGCTGGTTCGATTCAAAGACGAGAGTAGGCTTAGGGGCTGAGCATGACGGCGGCATTGCACCCGTCGCGACATGTCGGGTGGCAGGATCTCGTTCTCCGTCTGTGAACTGGTGGAGTTCTTATCAAAGAGTGGACAGGTTCAAGAAAGTCTCAGTGCGTCTGCACTGTCGTCCGATACTATACAAGAGCCTTTCTGCGAAGAAGTGCGAATCGGGTGAGAAGTGGAACAAGCTCCAAACTCGTAGTTGCCCCAACTGGAGCAAAGTACACTAAATGGATGCGCGTCACACGTGGCCCTGGCCAGACCGGTCCCCGATGTCAATGGCTTGACCGGGCTGGCTGTCGGCTTGGCGTCGGGAAGCGCCCGGTCAGCTGCCCAGCAGTGTCGTTCGGACACCCTCAAGTTCTTGAAAGCAAGCGCCCGCCGCAGCCTTTGAGGCACTATGCCGTCTACTTCTGGGATATAGGGATGTCGGTTGCAACGGCCTGAAGTCGGCATTCTGCATGCGTGCATGCACATCCTGCTCTGATGCTCTTTGAGGCGATACTTCCCGAGAATCTTCAAGAAAGTGTACCGCCTTTGCCAGAGGACCTTGCTGCGTGCCGGCACGGCTCAGCAATAATGTGATGCAAGGGTTTACAAACGATCAGGAAGGTGGCTTCGATTTGGTCTTCCCAGCTGCAGCATGCGTCTCAAAACGGCAGGGCATCATTGACAGTGTCCTCAAGCAAGTGTTTGGCTGGCGGCAGAACCGAGGAGCCAGAATCCATGCTGGACTTCGGCCTCGCATTAGGCAGCAAATTGTTATCCCAGCAGGCCAAGTGCATTCAAGCCCTCTTTGGAGGCGAGATCGTCGAAGCCAGGGGATGGGCCGTAGTGCAGCTCTCCCATGCCGACACTCTGTGCCGGCAACTCATTTGCGAAGATGCAGATGCAGCAACTCGGCATTCCAAAGACCCCTGCAAGGCGAGGCAGCATGTCGGGAAGCGAGGTCTCTGCGTCGTTTCGCAGGCGTTTTGCGGGACCTGTCGCCATGCCATGCAGGATGCAATGGCCACCCATGTCAGGTTTGCGCCAGGAGCTGATCCCTGACTACCTCGGACATGGAGTACGAGGTACTCCAGTTCTAGCATTTGCAGCTCCAGCCCGGCGTTTAAGATAAAGCCCTGGCAGGAAAGGTGCAGTTCCTCTCCGGACAGCGTGGCCGGGAGGAAGTGGCCTACCTCTTGGATCATAGCCTTGCCAACGCACGTTTATGTGTGCGAGTTCGCATGCTTGCTGAGAACCTTCATCGCTTTGAATCTGACTTCAACGTGGTGGCGCAGGCATGCAATAGCGATTTCACTTTGTTTCTGCCCTTCGACAAGCTTCCGAAAAACTGTCACAAGTTGCATGAGGCTGTGGCAGCCAACTCGTGGCACAACATGGGTTTTCGTCGACACCTTTGCTCTGACGCAGACGTCTTGCGAGAGCATGTCCGAGATGTTGCAAAATCAAAGCACAGAAGCCGTTCTGAAGGTAGTGTTGGGGAGAGATCCCCAACTTTGTTGTCCCCGGCTCGGGTGGTCAGGCAATTTCCTTTTGTGCACACTGCAAATCCGGGGCAGACTTGAGGTGGGTGCCGTATGCAACACGCCGCAGCCCGAAGACTGGATCTGCGTGTGGCAGGCTGGTTTGGCAAGGCAAGGGAGCACTTCTGCTGTCAGGCCGTGAAGAGTTCTCGATGGAAGGAGACCCTCTGAATGTGCCTGCCCCAGCTCAGCTGAACGACCTGGGGGTATGTAAGCTTTCGTTGCACTTCCGCATTGCAGGATGACGACATTGAGGAGGGTCACCTGGAGGCCGCTTTACTGTCTCTTCCCATTGCGCACGCTGCAACTACGTGCAATAAAAATTCGGGACTGCTACACTGCTCTACAGGAACACTTGCAATTTCTGCGACGTCGCCGGCTTTGCTGCATGCTGTGGCTGGAGCCCAACGTGCGAGACATTGTGAGACGTCGCTCCTATTCTTGGTCCCTGCAGGCTTGAATCAGATAGCGGCGAGATCAGACTGACTCCCGGACCACGGAGGCCTGAGCGAGCGGTAGGAGCCTCAAATCTGAAAGTGGAATTATGCGCAAGGGTCCTGGGCCTGGTTCCCCCCCTTGTGCTGCCTCAGGTGTCCCTGCCCATTGGAAGACGCAAGCTCTTAGTTTATCGGGGCGTCGGCCGCCAAGTGGAGACCAACGGTGCCTCGCAGGCTTGTTTTTTGGTGCCTGTAAGGACCGCATGACATTTTCCTACAAACCTTCTGGAAGGCCAGCATGCCAGCAGTGCAATTGGGGAGGCATTAGTCGCAGTCAGTCTCGTGGCTGCCGGGGTAACTTTGCGAACTAGCCGAAATGTTTAACCCCCGCAAGCGCAACTTTAGTTTAGGAGGGCTCTTCGAGAATGAGCAGTCCGCAGCAGTATTTGAACGGCATGGATCCCTCGGTTCTCGCATGCTTTCTAGGTGTTTTCGGGTTTCATGTCTCGGCAGCAGACTCAACTTCCTCGGTGCCTAGCACCCACATGCCCGCCCAAGCTGGAAGATAGATTCAGCACACCAACGTCTGCAACCGTGTGAAGCCTTCTACAGAATTGAGTTGGAATTGCTAGTCATGTTGGCATGACCCAGATACAGCAGCAGCCTCCTTTGGGGCCGGCAGGGGGGTGGTGTGTGGGACCATGTCGCGTACACACGAATATCTTCAGAATCGCCAGCACGCCGCTGGTCTTTTGAGGTTTGTTGTTTTACAAAGCTGGGTCCTGGAGCCTCCTGCCAAGTCTGTGACTCAGCGCCTGATACATCGTGATTTCGTGGCATTGTTGACGTCTGCACAATCGTCCTTGTCACCGAGGTTTCAGGTTGGCAAGCTGGAAGGACATCCAATGATGAAGGCAGGCTGTTGTTGTCTTCTCTTCTTGTTTTCCGACCCATTCGAAAGGCGGAGGCTATGGGAATCATGAGCGGGCGGCCACACCCAGAGGCATCCTGGCTCAACCGTGCGCAGCGGCGAAGAGCATGCAGAAATGCGATGCAGGGAGACCGTGTGCACATCATGAGTGCCTTGCGCTCAGACCTGGGCTCCGGGGGGCTCCTAGCGCAGCTGCGGCGCAGCAGCGCAGCTCGGTGGTTCAGCTGAGGTCATGTGCCGCCTTCCCGGAGGAGGTAGTGGACCGGACCAGTGCTCACAGCACACAGCGGCAGGGATGGCAGCTTGGTCCATTGGCCGCTGCTTTGCGAGGTACTGGTCCATGTTGCTGGACGGGACGGATGGGATGCTGTCTATTCCGTCGGGGAGGCGTGCAATGACCACTTGCCTCGAAACAGCTTCTGAGAAAGTGCTTGATTAGCAGCTTGTATTGTCTTTTTCTTCTGCGCTTGACACCTTGTACAACACACACAGTAAGAGGAACATAGCGATAACATCGGTTTTCTTGGGAAACGAAAAGTGACAAACAAATAAGTGGCATCTTAGATGGTCCCTGACTGTTTCCGCAGCCGATCCACAGGTGGGACACCGAATTATACTGCACAAAGGCTCGGCGGTATGTTAGCTGGTGCACAGTGTTGGATTGCAGTGAGTTGCGCCTTGGGTACATGGTATGGCGGAACCGTTGTGACTCCGCAGACCTGGCTGTTTTCAGGAGGGAGAACACGATGCGCCTGGCAAGTGTTACACCATCCATGGAGCCTTTGTTGCCAGCGCCTTCAAAATCAACGTGTGCAGCACGGATCTTCGGGAGCTTGACTCACGCTCGAGGCGAACGAAGAAATTTTTTCCTTTGACAATACCTTTTTCGACATTCCGCAAGAGGAAGCCATGCAGGGGCCCCTGGGGACAGGCATGCGCAGCTTCTTTGCAGGGGACCAGAAGTGCATTTTTCGGAGGTTCATGTCCCCAAGTCAGCGCGTCGTCATGGAAGATGGATACACGGTTCTTTTCCGCGGTGGCTACAACAAGGCACGCCGGGACTGGTGCCAAGGCGGCAGAGGGCAACATCACATCCTGACAGGAAAGCCTTCGAGGAAGAAGCATCGGCGTGTTTTTAGGTGACACTGGTTCCGTCAGAGTCTTAGCTTGTGAAGCTGTTGTCGATGCTTACGGTCGCACCCACTGAACACACTGAACACCCAAGAGCCATTTCTCTTGTCCAGCAACAGCTCTCAGAAGGGCGGCAATTGAACGAAGGCATGCTGGTCTACAGTCTAGAGATGGCCGAGGACTGGTCGCCATTCAATCCGGCCGAACATGTCATCTATCGAGGGCAGGCGCACTGCTTGTCAAAGCTGAATGCCCCATCGTTCGGGGAAGACAGCAAAGCACCGTCCCACTTTGTGCAGGAGAGACGGACTGTGACTGGTCTACACGCCACCGCTCTGACTGGACACAACACCTCAGCCACTTACCGTGAAGACATATGCACACCATAGGTCTGACGTGTTGTGCGAAGTGTTGTCTTCAAGTTGCAGTGTTTCAGGTGGTGCCATGCAGATTGTCTCATGCACTGGATCTGGTCGGCTGGGGGCTCAGAAGCCTTCACTTCGGCCTGCTGGGTCTCGGAGTTGCAACCCAGGTCCTTCCAATACCGCTGACACAGCTTGTTCTTCGTCACTCGTTGCAACCGGGGTGCCGCTGACTCGCTTGATCTTGAAGGGCACCTGCGCTTTCTGCAGTTTCTCGTGGAAGAAGGACTGCGCATGCCGCGCCGTCTACGTGTCTGTCTGGGTGCGCCAAGCGACTGAAGATTCAAACTTGGACTTATTGCAGGTATTTGGGATGCAGCAGCATGATTTGCATATCATTTGCACAGACCCAACATTCTACGCTGTAGTAGCTATAAACGGAGAAAAGGCCAGAGGTACTCCGCACACAGGAATCAGGCAGGATGCCCGCTATGTCCGAATCTATTTATTACTGTCATGGCAGTACTCCTATCGCAGGTGGATCGTAGTCGTAGACTACTCAGCACAGGAGTCGCAACTAATGCCTGGTCAGTAGGTAGACCAGTATATGACCTAGAAGACGCTGACGATACGCTATTGTTCGGAGTTATAGTCCCAGCTCTAGAGGAATGTTTGCGCAATGGGCAATCTCTGGCGGCACTGTGCAGATTATATTGCTCGCCTGACTTTGTCGAGCCGCGAGTGACAAAAAGATTACATTGATATCTTGATTTCACCAAGACGGAGTACCTGAGTACCTACAGACCGCAAAACCGACGACTCCCCCATCCTTCATTGACAACACACCCACGCCAACAAGTGAAAACATAAAATATCTAGGAATCTAGGCTCCATGGTTACTTGGACGGACCCCACCCTAGAAGCCATCCGCCATCGAATGTCACCGGCACATGTTGCTTTTGAAAACTGTCGGCATTCTGGAGAGCCACAATCCCCAAATGGACGTATGTGGTATCACTACTTCCGTACAGACTCCCTAGGGAGGTAGCACCTAAAGAAAATCGACAGCTGTTATTTTCAATTCCTTGAGGGTCGTTGGGATCAAAGCCTCTTGTTCCTCCTGGTCCAGGACTCCGAACAAAAGACAGTTTGCTTAAGAGCGGAATAGCCAACCTTGCCTTCCCAAACCATCTTTTCCGAACAAACTCAACAACTCATTGAAAGCTTGGCTAATTCTCATAATGACCCATTCCGCCACGTTTAATCTTTTCGCCGGGTATTGCGGCCGGTTTCGAAGCAGCACCCACAGAAGCATCCCAACTACTCCGCTCGCTTGGCGACAGCACCCACGCGCTTTGCACCAATATTTTCCTTGTATCACAGCAGTATTGTTGGCGCACGGCGGTGGTCAATATGATCGGCACATATATTAGTCAAGCTTGTGCTGTTTCCTGTTTGTCATTTTGCCTCGCTCGAGTGCTTTGAGGTTGTGTCAGCTGCAACCTTATGCGGTGATAACTTGTGCAGCTTGCTTTACATGGCGTCATTTCCTTGAATTTGATGCTGTTGACGTAGACAATTGGCAGTTCTTCTTTGCCAGGTTGCAATGCAGTGGCTGCGACCGCGAAACGTGGGGCAGCTGGAGCATTTGAACGTTGGCAGGCTTCCAGAGCTGGGTTCGAGCAGCACAGGGGAAGATTCATTGTCTTGAGCAAGTGCACTCGGCCTTTGTAAGCCAGCCAAGAGTCCTGCGAACCGTCCAGCATGTCAAGTGGACTGTGCACCTATTAGCGCTGATATGTTTGGCGTCAACATGGCATTTACCTAATGTAGCCACAGGGTCTGCCATAGCGACGACTTTGCAGCTCAGCTCGTGGTTTGGTGTTGCGTCAGTGTTGCATCTAGAGAACAAGTATAGCATACAGCCAAAGACAGGGCACTGCCTGCTGCGGACCTGAACACAGATGAGGGAGAAGACCTGGTGGTCTCTGCCATTGGGTTCGAGGGCGGAAGCACCGACGATCTCATGGGTCATGTGGCGGTGGTAGGCAAAGTAGTTTGAGACCTTTGCCATTCGCACGAATCTTTTTTTATCTCTCGAAGACATGCTCTCCCGGCAGCTTAGAACTCAAGAGTCGAAATGGCTCTTTCCCTTGATGGCGCTTCCAGCAGTAGGTCAAAAGAGATCGAGGAGCTCCACTCGTTGATTTCTCAACACCTGCGCTGTGCTGCAGTTCCGGGCTATGTGATCGAGTCTGTGGAAAGGAGTTTGGAGAAGGCGCTTCGATCTGAGCCGAACTTCAGCAGCCACTTGCTGCAACGGTTTCATCAGCTCCCTACTCAGCACGTGGAGCCAAAGGCCACGGAATGCAAGAAGGCATGCTCTGCTCGCAACACTTCCGGCCATGCAGCTGCCTCGCACTCCACTCTGTTCTTAACAAGGAGCTGGGCTTTGGTTTTACTGGGAGTACTAGCGCTCAGCATGGTTTTTGCACCTTGTGTTGCTTATAGCGAATGGTGCCGGAGCTGCACAAGCTGGGGTGCAGATAGCTGCTGTGGGGCTTCAGTGAAGGTTTCGGGGTTGAGCCGCCGGTGTGCAGCATCAGGTTCAGGTTGTCTCGAGTTCAGGTACATCGACGAATTGTTCGCGGCTGTTCGAAACGCTGATGCTCGAGGGGACACACCTCTCATGGAGCTTCTGCGGCACGATTTCTGGGGCAACTCATTACAAGGTGGTTGGACTCATAAGTCCTATCGGCCGTTGGTCGTGCTCTCTTATGTGGCGCAGTATTGGTTGAATTCTTGGGATTTCAAGCCGCAGCCGCTGCGTGCCTTCAACGTTGCAGTTCATGCCGCCAACTGTCTCTTGCTTGTTCTTGTGCTCCGGCGACTGAAGGTCGCAGAGTGTGCCGCGTTTCTGGCCGCTGGTCTCTTCGCTGTTCATCCTGTGCATGCGGAAAATGCGATCTATCTGGTAGGGCGAGCTGACTCGATGGCCACGTGCTGTTGGTTGCTTGCCTGCTTGTCTTGGAACCCACTTCAGCGGCGTGGGATGGTTTCCCACACGTGGCGTGTGAGCTTGGTAACTGTCCTTGCAGTGTTGGGCGGGTTTTGCAAAGAAAGTGGCTTCTGCGTCTTGCTCCATCTCGCAGTAGTTGAACTGTTGGGGCCTCGCCCCTTGAGTGGCTCACTTCCCCTCGTTGGTGCTTTCTGCGCTGTGTTTCTCGGACGAAACTGGATAACTTCAGGCACATCGGCTGGCTTCTCGTTCGTGGATGCACCTGTCCAATACCGGAGCGATCCGCTCGTGCGGTCGGCTACCTATCTTTATTTCCATGCCAAGTATGCGCAGCTCATGGTATTTCCGTGGGTCCTGTCCTGGGACTATTCGTACAATGCCTTGCCAGACCTGGCAGGTACTTGGCAGGACCTTCGGATGCTCGCCATCCTTGCTGCATACCTGAGTTTGTTGTCTCTGGCTGCATGGGCATTTGCGAAGAGGAGGCGATTGGTGTTGATTGGTCTCAGCAACATGATTATACCGTTTGTTCCCGCCTCCAACCTTTTCTTTGTTGTTGGTGTTACGGTCGGCGAGCGCTTATTGTATCCCTGCAACATTGGCGCAGCAATCGTCATCGGCGCGATGTGTACGCCGGGCAAAATGCCTGAGATTCATGCGGAGGGTCCGGTGGTTCAACGGCCAGTGGAGGGACACGCTAAGTTTCGCTGGTTCAAGATGCTGCTCGCCGCTATGCTCATCGTTTTCGCCGTCCTCGCGAGGATGCGGACCTATCAATGGTCTTCACGTGAGCTCCTGTTCGGTGCAGATGCAAAGAGTTACCCGCAGTCCACCAAGGCGCGCCACCAGTTCGGGACCCTTGGCATGGGCATGTCGGGCATAGCAGCCCAGCCAAGCCAAAGCTGAACCGAGAGCATGGCCAAGGCTTTTGGTACCTTTGAAGCCTGTCGGCTCAGGACAGTGCTGCACAAGATGGAACGCTTCGACGAGGCATTGTTCCATTTCGAGGCTGCTGAGCAAATCTATGTGCCCGGGCGAGCACGTTTGTGTCTTTGGGTTTGGAGATGTTCGGATAGATTGTGTGAACATGAAGAACATGCCTATGAACATGAGTGACCCGCTTTCGATCCGCAGGCTCCGTGCATACTGCACTACTAACTGTCCATTTTCTGAAGAAGAGCAATAGGGTGAAGCATAATCAAAGGCATTCCAAGTACTGAGGACGGCACTGGGCTCACGCAGTATTGCATCGGCCAAATCCTGCTGGAAACGGGCCGTGCCAGAGAGGCTGAGGAGAAGTTCCACAAGATTCTCTCTGGGTGCCGAAGTTGAAGTATGTTCAGAGCAGGGTTGCTTCTTTGCTCCTGGCCGCGGAGCGCAGTCGTCAGGGGAAGTCTGTGTTCTGCCTGCAGGGCGATGCTAAGGCATGCTTTGGGTTTCGGCTCTCACAACATCTTCTCGCTGTACATCGACTATGGACCTTAGTCAGCACGAGCTGTGATGCTGTAACTATGCAAGGCAGCCATACGGCACCAAAATGAAGAGCTTGATGCAGTGTTTAGTTTCAGGTTTCTCTCTGGTTCTGCAGCAGCGGTTTGCCGAAGCCGTGGACCCGATCAAGGAAGGATTACGCCGCAACGAGGATGTGCCTTATGGTCTGAATGCCCTCGGCCACCAGGAGAATTTACATATCGCAAGCTTTGGGTCTTCCAGACGGCAGCTGCTTCTGTCTTTGCTTCATCGCCTTGCAAGGCTACTCCTACCTGAACGTCGGAAAGATGCAAGAAGCTCTCGAGGCCCTGGAGCTCGGCCTCAAGTACGATCCAACAAACGCTTCCAGGAAGCATTCACAGCCGATTTCTCACCGGGTCACTTATTCGACAATCCCATAATGCCCGGCACGGGGAGGGGGGGGGACATGCGCTTGGTTCGTGAAGGCATAGCATGTCATGCTTCCGTCTTAGATCTTGTCCGAAGTTGTGCTCGAAGGCTTACCTGGAGAACAATTTGGGTGTCGCCAATGTTTACTCAGGGCAGCTGAACGAGGGTGCAATCCGCATTGCGAGATCAGCTCAGCTGGAGCCCGGCGTGGCTGCATTTGCACACAATGTTGTTCTTCTGCGAGAAATGGCGGTTGCTTGCCATCAACAGCAGACTTGTCATTGCTTTCTCTGTAGAGAACGTTCTGAGGGTGATCTTTTGGAGCCAAGCTCGGACGTGCCTGCAGGACACTGGCAAGTGGCCGGCGAAGCAGTTTGCGCTGGAGCTTTTTTACAATAGAGGTATGTAGCCGAGGGAGCTGTGACCACACCCGGACAGCCGGATGTGCAGTTTGGCCCTGCTTGCACCAATTGAACTCGTGGCCTTGGGAGCGAGTGCAGCGCACCCCAAAGTGTCTCCACTTCCCAGAAAACCTGCATCGAACAGATAGCAGATATGAAGAGGTTCTGACAGGGATGCTGCAAACGGTTGCGGAGTGTGCGTTCATGCAGGCTGCAAGAGGCAGTCGCTGGAGGCATTTGCTGCCAAATAGGCCTGGCGGTCATGTTGGTTTCCGACATGGCGGCTGTCCGTCCTTGACTCTCTGTCTGACTCGGACTTTACTCTGTGTTTTTCTTGCCTCCGCCAGGTCCGGGCACCTACATTGCCATGCTGGTGGCTCAGGCTCAGGTGTTTTCGCCACATGCAGCACCTCGCCAAGAGACATGCCAGTCAACCTAAGAGGCCGGTATTGCCCGCCGAAATGCATGGACACCCTTCTCCAAGGTGAGTGCATGAGGGTGAGTCAGTGAAGAAGTGTCAACGAAAGGGAAGTGCGAGTGAGAGTGAAGCCGCGCAGAGCGACAGTGCTCGTCGGGGGAAGCCCAGACTCCCGGCCTAGCAGAGCAGGTGTCAAGCGGGAATGCTTTAAAGGGGTGGACCAAAGGGTGCTGAGGAGGAAAGGGTGTGTCAACACAAAGTTCCAACATGCTCCAACAGAGATTGATGTCTTCGGTCCCGGGACTCGGGAATTACAGTAGTGTCAGATGTTATTCGGGCCCCTTGGCGGAATACCTTCAGGTACAGTTTTTCTACACAAACGAAAAGGCGAGGACGTATCCAAGAAAAGCGCGTGATGTGCTTCGCGGCTTGGTCCTGGCTATGGTCTGTGCAAGAAACATTGAAGGACCTACCTACCGCCATTGCGGGTTCGTAAGCTTGCTGCCTGAAGCCGCAGGGCCGCAGGACTCCAGGGCCCCTGGCTCCCTGAAGGGCTGTGCCTCACTGCCGACGGCATGGCGATCAATCCCAGGACCGGGAGAAGACCTCGGGCAGATGAACGTCACTACGTGACTCACTCCATTTGATCGAAGATTTTCTGGTAGTGCTTGCACATATTGATTGTTAATATAGTGCGAGATGCGTAAGATTTACGTCAAAGATGAGACCACAGGCAGTGGTCTGAAGGCGGAAGTGTACGCTAATTCGTTTCGTCCGCGTCCTCCCCAAACTGAACAAAGCGACTAAGTGTATCTAAGTGTTGACTATAGGCCGAAGCGTAGAGTGATAAGCCGGGACGATGTCAGAGCTATGACATGATCAGCCAGGGCCAGCATGTTGAAGGTACATCGGTTGCTTGTGCGTTTGCATCTTGCCACCCTCGCATCCCAGCCGTAGAACCCTTGGCCGATGTCCGCTGAAAATGCCACGCATGGCGGTTTAGACAAACGGTTGACAGGGCGATTTCTGATCGTCAGACGATCGACCGGACACCAAAGCGTGCTAGGGCATCTCAGATCATGCGGTAGGGCATGAGAGGCATGCGCTGTTGGTGTTGCAACGCTCAGGTGCGGACTGCACATGCTGTCAACAATGGGAAGATGTTTCACTTTCAATGAGAGCAGCACACTGAGCAGAACAGTCGCCTGCAGAAGTGCTTCGGCAGGGCCTGGCAGCGTGTGTTGCTGAGGTGGGGACGGCTATGCTCGAGGTGAGGGCTGTGGTCTCCTCTACCTGAAAGCCGATGTCTCGGAGCCGCTTCTGACAGTTAAAGATTCAGACTGATGACTCGCATGTTGCCGCGCGCTCAAGACTTGGCCCGAACACACGTTACACATGTGATGGCCTGACGCCTCCACTCCGAACCCAGCGGATGGCATGTAGTTGTTCTAATCAGAACTGAATTAGGGCGACGAATACACTCTGTGCCCGATGATACATGATGGTGCGGACTACTTGGCAGCATTTCTGCGGCTGCTCGACTGTGTCTTTATTTAGTCACAGGTTGGATGATGGATATGCTTCCAACGTTTGCTTGCGTAAGAAGCATGAGCTCGAGGAATACTGCTGGTCACGTGCTTCCTGCCTGGCTTCGCTTCTTCGACACCGCTGAAGACGGCGATGGCCAGGTGTCCTTGGAGGTCGGAAAATTGAAATGTTTTTTGAAGCAGGTTTAGGGAGCTTTGTGTAGTGCGGGTTTTGTCTGTTCTTGCGGAAGGCTGGCCTGGCTTTGCGACTTCGGTTTGGCTTTAGTGTGGCACTCCCTGGGTCCCTTGCTTCCCCTGCTTTCTTGCTACGTGCTTCTTGCTTCTTCTTCGCTTTGGCTTTGTGCTCGGTTGTTCGTTCGGCTTATGCTACTGTGTTTTGGTGTTTCTTGTTATGCTGCTTCTTTACGGTGTTGCTCAGTGCCCTTCGACAGTTACAGGCATTTGCCCAAGAACTAGGCTATGTGAACGGTAGCTTCGTCCATCGCGAATTCCTACCATCTGCCTCGCTAATTTGGCTTTATCTCGAGATGTCGGCTTACAGTGCTTGGGGATGCGAAATTTCCAGATCCGGGGTTGCATTGGGTACCACCCTAGATACCAGCCCCGCACCCCTGAAGCCAAGCCAAGCCAAGCTTATCGTTTTCAATTTTGTGGTTGGTGAAACGGCTGCCGCTCGCTTCAGCGATGTTGGAGGCGATTGAAATACTAGTAGCCAGGACATTTTATCTGGTAGTCAAGCACAGTGCCTTAATGTTGCAACATTACCCACTTCGAAGACATGCTCCATCGAAGCGTGTAAGGCAGTGAAAGGCTTTCTACAGCACCGCTGATACTGCAAGGAGATGTCGACGAATGTGTGACCTTTGTGTTCCTGTTGGTCTCTTGCGATGGCGATGGGGGATGGTGGGGGATGGTGGCCAGTGGGGGAGGGGAAGCCGCCCCAAGTCATTTTGTTGTTTAGACTAGGTGCCCCCCCACTGTTTCACAATCTTTGGCGAGATTTCCATGAGTCGCAGTGAGGATATCTAAAGCACGAAGCAGGACATCCAAGTATCAACACGCCAAAGCAGGACCTGGCAAATCGGAATTCCCGCAACGCCTTGCCGGAAAAGGTAACCAAACTAAATGGCATCTTGAAGCGGGAGAGCGGCAGTGCCACAAAAAAGGCTGCAAGACCAATCTCGCCAAAGAAAAGACGCCAAGTTTGTTTCGCATCCATACTTCAGTAGAGAGTCTCGTGTGGTGCGAACCTGCGGAGGATTTCATCACTGCCATGCGAAGGCTTCTTGGCTTGTGTTGACAGAGGTCTCAGTCTGACATCTGCTCCAGCTTCGAAGCGGTCTGAGAGGAGGAAACGTCTCAGATGTCCACCATGTTCAGTCATGAGCTTCGCACATGAGGTTGCAGTTTACTGGAGATGCTGAAGGAATCTTCACGCAGATAGACGCCGCAAGTCCTGATTTGGATATGTCGGATATGTGCCAAGTCATCGGCAGTCATGCCTGTGCTGGGCTAGTGCCTAGGCAGACGAGTCCGGTTTCCTGACCCTTTACGAGGCCCATGAAGAGAAAGCAGATGCCATGTTTGCTTCACATTCCTGTGCAGGTGGATGGGAAATGCGCTGACCTCTGGGCAGCCTTCCGTGCCTGGTGTGCTGAGACATTCTCCAGTACTGAGGATATGGCTGCTCGGCTCGTAGGCATGTGCAAGTCGAAAGGTTTTGTTTTGCCACGTCGAACGCCCTTGAATAACCAGGTTCCGTGCCATGGTTGCATAGATTGAGGACCATTTAGTAGCTGGTGGCGCGGGGTCGGGCTAGCAGTGCCCGTGCAAGCAATCACACGATTGCCCGACTAACCTTGCTCTGCAAATGCACCGGCTTAAGGCTAAAGTCTTAGCAGGTCTTGAACATGTCAACGAAAGTGAAAGGTGCTCCAAACGCTCCCGCAGCGCCTGGCATGTGGAACGAAGGTTTTGCGTCATTGGGTCCGAGTGCTGAGAACAGGGAATGAAGCCAAAAGTTAGTCCGACTGGCAAGCTCAACTTGTGGGCTTTTAACCGGCTGATTGATTGCGCATGGTCGTTTTGCTCGACAAGCGTGCAGGGTGCTCATGGGCTGCAGGAAAGCTGATGTGTGATAGGATGGCAGCATCTCCACATGTTGTGAACCCGTGCGCATTGGCCCTCGAAGCTTTCAGGTTGCTCAGCTTCGTGGGACCATTGTCGACTTGGGCCCTCCCGAGGGGGAGCGCCGAACCTTCAAGAAGCAGAGGAGCGCCGTACCTCCCATCGAAGCTCGTATAAAAAACACGAGGGCCAAATATCGGCAGCACATCTGCGCCAGTAGAAGCAAACCGCGACTGAGGAAGCCACCTTCATCAAGGAGCAGTTCCTAGAAAATGCCCCGCGGCACGGCTGGTGGCTCGTCTCTTGCATAAGAGTTGCATTCTCGTAAGCACATCTGAGCGGAGCATTTCTCCGCGAGGCTCGAATTTAGGAAAACAACCCACGAGCGTCTGGATTCAAGCGTGCCAAAAGGTATGGTGGATTCGAAGAAGTTCTTTTTGCTTCCATTGACCGAAGGCAAAGTGGGTACCATGCTCAGTTGCTGTCGCACAGTACTCATCATGTAGTCAGGTAGAACGCACTGACAAGACGCTGTCACTACGTGAGTATTTCCGTCGGGGAGCTCAATCTATCTACATCCGAGGTATGTGACACAAGCTGACCTGCCTTGGTTTGACAAGGCGCAGTTCTGTGCAATGGCAAACCATTGATTGCCATAGCCGTGTTTCCTGATGAGATGTCTTGCCCCGCAGCGGGCGATAGTGGGCGGTGTACATGTGGATGCACTTGCGCAGAGAGGACGCAGACCTCTCCTCGGTCTCTGTTTGTCTCTGTCACTGCCTGCGGATGTGCTGATGCATGAGTAGCTACCTTGCCTGATGTGGTATAACGAAGCTAGGGCTTTTCTGTGTTCACCAGTCGTTCGTATTGTGAGGGCATTCACTCGATGTTCGCAGCTGTTCGTTTCGAGATGCAAGTCTTACATCTGGGAGCTCGGGCGTGTTGGCACGCCGCTGCTTTCCTTTCTTGATTTCTTTAGCTTCGGGAGATTTGTGTCCAGTATCAATGTGTGCTGCTTGCATGCACTTGCGCATTCTCACGTAATGCCGCTCGATTCTCGCAAAACCAGGCTGATGGTCAATAGATCTCACAGGCATGCTGAAAGGGATTCGTGGTCTGGGAAATAAGCCGTCTTGGCTCACGGCCGCCCTTGACTATTCTCGTCATGCCCGCCTTCGGGACATTGCCCGGATACATCAGGATTTTGTCCAAGTTTCTGCAATCTGCAACGTACACACAAACAAGTGGTCTCGCTTTCCTCAAATCGCCACAAAAGGAAAACGACGAAGCACCTTTAAACCTGCTCAGCAGGGTAGGTCTAGGTGGGGCGTGGTTTGGGACAAGGCGAACACAGCTCCGAACGCAGAGGGCCCAACGTGAAGTGCAGATTATGTCTTGAGGAGAAAGTGATCTCGCAGCAGACCTGTAACCTCGACGTTTGTCAACGTTTACCAAAGTCGCTGTGTGAACTGTGACTGTTTCGCGGATGGTTTCGGCCTGGTACATCATGTCTTGATGATGCTGACAGGCATTGGAGCAGCACCGACGGCGGATGCAGCTGCGACCAGCAAATAGCAGGGCCAACTTGAGTGGTACCGTCTCTCCTCAAGCACTGAAGAAGAATGCCATGCAAGCACTCTTGGCATTCATGAGCTTCCTGCGAAGCGGCAGCCAGGGTGGAAGCCTAATGCACTCCTGGCGATCTGCTCTGGATCGGGATGGGTACCTTTACGTTCAGAAATCTGACATCATCAGAGCCTGCTCACAGATGGGGTGGCGTGGCGATGTGTCGGCTTTGTGGAGCTGTCTCGATATCACAAACGGGCGTGCTTCACTCGAAGAGTTTGGGTTCAAGGAGGCGAGGGCTCTGGCCTTATTCAGAGAATGGGCTTTGAAAATAGCTGGCAGCATTAAGGAAGCTTGGCAACGGCTTGTTTTCCTGGAGAAGATGTACCAACGCAAGCTGCGGCAGACAGCCACAAGCGGGGGTTCTTCCACAGACAGCTTGAATCTTAAGGCGTGGGTGTATGCATGCAACAAACTAGGCGGCCAAGACAAGGCCCCGCCCTTCGATCCGAAGTTTCTCTTTACGGTACTGGATTGGGAGCCCAATGAAAAGATTTCTTGGAGAGATCTGCGATTTCTGGAGCTCTGGGAGCCTGTCGGATGGTTATCTGAGCAGCCCAAGGCAAGCGAAGCTTTGTCTTTCAAAGTGTCGATGTTGTCGAAGTATGGAAATCACCCGGTCAAGGCCTGGAGGTTATGCCTTGATTTGGATGGAAACGGTCTCTGCAAATGGTCTGCCTTTAAGCAGGCGGCTGAACGCATCAACTGGAAGGGAGACTGTGCGAAAGCTTGGCTGGGTTTGGACAAACGAGGCTTGGGCTTCATTACGCTTTATGAGATTGATGAGGAAGTCGCTGAGAACTTGGCCCTATTTCGCAGATGGTGCTTTGCCAACTATGGTGGAGTCGCGATTGCATTCCATGCTCTGGACACCGACGGCTCGGGAAGCCTCAGTGAGGAAGAGTTTGTGCACGTCATCGAGGCATCTTCCTTCAAAGGTGATGCGCATGCAGCCTGGAGGTCGTTGAATCTGGAGGCAAGCGACATCCTCTCAGAACGGGAGATGGACTTCCTGGACGACATGGAGCTAGACATGCTCACTGCATACGTCTCTGCGACAGAGGCAGCAGAGGAGCATGAAGCACAGCAAGCACAGAACGATGTCGAGCGCAGCGATCTTGATTCTCCTGTGAGCGAGAGGCAAAGCATAGTGGCATCGGAGCCTTCGCAGGAGTTTCGACCGCTCCTTTCCACGGTGGAATCTTGCACGGAGCTTGTGCGCAGCCTGGGCCTGCAAGGCAATCCACAGGCTTCAAGCTCGAGCCTTTCACAGTTCCTTTTCGATGCAAGTGCTCATCTCCCGTCACAACCGGAAACGGTCGCTGCCAGTAAAGCTAAGCTTGCGATGTTGGCTCCAAGTGCAGCAGCACCAGCTGCAGGCTCGGCACAGCAGAGAGAGAGACGGCTCTATGCAGGTGGCATTCCATACATGTCCATGATTGGGCGCCACCTCACGCAGTGAGTTGGATGCGATGCGCACCTGTCGATGCTGGACCGGCGCTTGTAGCTTCTTGTGACTGCTGTCGATAGCGCGAATAGAGGTTTTGGTTACATGAGCAATTGCATCGCATCAGAGCACCGGGCCTGTAAACACGTGCAGGCCCCAGCTACAGTCAAGAGAACACACATGCTGCTTCAACCCGCTGTGCTTCAAAGTGCGGGGCGATGCAGGTAAAGGTTCACGGAGGTATTACAGAATATAACATACAAGAAACATAGGTCACATACAAGAAACATAGGACATAGGCCCGTTGTGTCACAAACGTGTCCCAACGAAGCTCTAATTTGGCAGCTCTGATTCAGCAGAGCCCACATAGGCTGATTTTGGCCTGCTTGCCCAGACACTGTACTTCATCTTCTGTCTAGAAGGTTCTACATGACGGTAGGTGCTTTTCTTGGCAGAGTTGTTGCAGCTGACATGTAATGTAGCAGACTTTCCCCCGACAGGGGAAGCACTCAGTCCTGGTGCGCCTGTACATAGCCGAAGCTGTGCCGCGCTGGATACAAGCCTGAAGCCTGGGCTTGGTTTGGCTACGCGCTGTTTTCCTTCGCAGAAATGAGCCCAGTTGCCGCATGCCTACAGAGGAAAGGCCGAGGCAAGGTCTACACCGATTTGCTCGCCTTCCCCGCAGCGGGGGGAAGCTGAAGACGTATTGGCCGAGGCCAGCGCGACAGAGGTGGACATGTACGACCAGCTCGCATGCCTTCTTGGCTGCTGTGTCAATCAGGACTTTGGATTTTACTTCAGACCTCATACTCATACATCCCCAGCCCTACTACTACACGACCGTCGCGGGCGGCGATTACTGAATCAGCAACAGGCAGCTGTAAATTAAGTGCCCTGCTTCTCAGGAATCCCTGGGACGTTAGCTGTAGCAGTTAAGCCTCGATGCAGGATGGCCGCAGTGCAAGTATGACCGCGCCCAACGGCCCATCGCAGCAAGCATGCATTGCAGGATCCATGCGCGAGGCAGCGATGTAAACGCACAGTTCGAACGAAGACGGTGGTGTGACCCCGTAGCCGTAGTCCTTGAGTCAATTGATGCTCGGCTGCAGGCCGGCAACAAGGCTAGCGACATCAACCTGGCGGAATGCCATGGCACAGGCAGACCAGCAGCCAACAGCAACATAAAACGACATCCGTTCTGTGCTACATGTACCAGGCACGGCTCTTGGTGATCCTATCGAGGTTGGGGCTCTGAAGAACGTGCACAGCCTACCCACGTAGCCAAGTTCAAAGTCACTGCCTCAGATCGGAGCAGCATCTGCCCAGGTCATGCACCCCCGCGAAACGACCCTGGCATTGACCAGCTCGAAGTCCAACATTGGGCACCTGGAGGGCAGTGCGCACGCCTCAGGTCCTCTGATTTTGGTCGTTAACTTTTTCGTGTAGGATTGCACCGAACAAGGCTGGCATAGCTGGCTTTATGAAATGTGCCACGTGCTTAGGTGTCGTGCATTAGCCTTTGGTCGCACCGCCTGCGCAGCTCGAGCCGAGGTTCTCATGCTGATGGCCGGAACATGTCCGCCAAATGCACATCTTTATCAGTCAGATGCTGAGTAAAGTTGTCCACAAACGCCCTGCTGCAAAGGTGTCTGCACAGCCAGTGCAGACCCCGACCAATCTTTCCGTCAGAATTCCCATGCTGCATGCCGCGTCTCGTAACTTGCTGTGGCAAGTGCAGAAAGTAGAGCAAAACGCATAGTAGGCCATGGAGTGCTTGCGTCCACTTCGCAGAGCGGGCTTGGTCTCTTTAATTCACTTCAAACCAGTCGCATGCATGGATGCACGGCCGAAGGATGGCTTGTATTATATAGAAGGCCCGGCCAGCAGGCGATGAAGACTGAAATGCCGAGATGTGCCGTCAGGTTGAACCCTCACCTGGACGTTAAAGGCTTCCCGTGTCTCTTTGACACAGAGGCCCCGTGCTGCACATTGTGCACGCAGGTTGCCACATGTTGCCACTCTGCACTCCGTGTCTTCCGCTGTTACTGGAAAATGGTACCGACATGAGTCATGATCTTCTGTGGTTTTGTGGTTTACAACTTCAGCACAGTCTCCCGGCTGCATCTCACCGCTGGTCGAAGAAAAGCATTGCCATGGCGACGAACACGATCATGACCTCGCATGAGATTCTCGGCTGGGCATGTTGCGGAAATCGAGTTATACACTTGTGCAATAATACGCATGCATGTGGGCATTTTAGAAGGAAGATAACCTGTCCGAATTCAGGACCATGTCCATGATCTCGGACGACAAGCTTGTCCGGACACCGGTGTGGCAATCGGTTCGAGAGGTCCAACTTCGCCCTGATGCATTGGTTGAGAAGCAGCGTGCCTTGGAGGAGACAGTTTCGAGCGTGCTTGGACGCTGGTGTGCACAGCGTGACTGGGAGCAGTTACGACTTGCGATAAAGGTGAGCCGCAGACCGAAGACCATCCCCCGGACAAGGACGCCAAGTCGGAGGAGGAGAGCTTCGGAAAGCTTCAGACACGTTTCAGAGGAGTCGGGAAGCGTTTTGATTGTCGAGGTGGTCATTGAGAGCGAGTCCGACGAAGTCTGTCACTGGCCTTGATGACGTGCCTGTTTTAATTGTCAGTTGAGCAGGTGCCAGTATGCTCATCTTAAACTTAGGTGTGTGCTGGTGGGAGACCCCTGTTCCGCGTGATCGCAAGCTTACGCGAGCTGTCACTGGACTGTCTGTGGGTGCTCTTGTCTGGTAAAATTTGCGCATGACTTGAAGCTGAGCCGCGCACAGCACACCATGACAGGTTTTATGTTGTTGTGATCTCCTGCCAAAGCAATACGGTAGTGCTGAACATGAGCTAGCTAAAGCTGCACCGTATCAAGTGCCGACGCGTGAGCGCAGACCTGTTGTCACCCCGGCCTTGTCATGCATGGTGCGGATCTTTCGATGTTCGCTGTGCATGCAGCGCGAGTCTTTGAATCTTCGCCTGACATGTTCCTTTCTTATGCCAAAGTTGAGCATGCAACCTTTAATTTCTCGGGCGCACAGGCTTCCGGAAGTCTTTCCAAAGAGAGGTGCACATTGCTGGCCCATGCTCCTTGTGCACAGAGCTCATGCAGAGCATGCCCGTTGATAGCCCCTGCCATCGCACAGAGGTTGTCGAGGGCCCTTTGGACAAGTGGGATTTGCTGAATGGCTGCTCAAAGCAGATGTCAGCAGGATTTCACGAGAGTCCCAGTTGATGTTATCGACGAAAAAGACACGAGAGAAGTCGTAGCACTTGTGCTCAGTAAAGAGATATGTTTTTTCTTGCTGGTCGGCAATGAGATGTGCATCAGGCAATCGACCCCGGACTCAACAGCGCATTGACAGGCCTCGGTTCTGCAAAACTCAACATCGAAACAAGATCGATGTCGCTTGCAGGCGTTTCCTCCTTCGGCTTCGGTGGAACCAATGGCCGTTGTGACATCTGGGGGGCAGCCAGGCTCATTGCAGTCGGTTCAGCATGTCTGGTTCGGTGGCGAAGCGCAGGCCTGCTTCACTACCGGTCACTACCGGCTTGGCAGGTTTGGGCCAAACAAGTGCGGCAAGGTCATGGAAGCGGAAGTAGACCAAATCTACACCTTGTGCCTGGGTCCCAGCCTGTGCTGCAGCATGGTATCGGCCCCGGGTCTTCCCGGAGTTGCGTGAAGTTGGGACCCCGCATGTCTAAATTGGGGGATCCTCGTAGACCTGGAGGTCCGGTCACGTTGGGCAAGATCGACCACTTGACAGGCGAGCCTTTGTCACGGCGTCTCGCCGCAATGCGCAGGACGGGCCTGCGCCGAGGATGTAGACAAGAAAGGCTTGTTTCACCAGGTCACCGGTCAGCTCCGTGTACTTTCGAGAACGGAATCCTTCTTTCCAGTAGCGGGATAAAGATGCATCTGAATCTGTAGCTGCCGAGGAAGTTGTAGAACGGCTTGACCCTGGTCGTGATAGACCTTTCATCATCGCTACACATGTCAGGGGAAAGAGGAGAGCTGACGTTCTGCGAGATGAGCTCGCAAGATACGATGTGTCACGGCCAGCTCCCCAGCAGTTCTACATGGCGCGCCGACGCTTCAGGTAGGTGGCACATCGACATCACCGTAGCAGGACTTACTTTCCCCACACCTCTGCGTCCATTCATTCTGTAATGTCTTTCCGCGTCCAATCTGCCCTCGGATGCGGGGTGTGAAATCTGAAAGGTGCGATTACAAATCTTCCAGCGTCTCGTGACTTGAAGCGGTGCAGTTGTGTAGGCTTCCTCTCCCCCCCGAGCTATGCCGAGCTGCCGGGCTGTGGTCGGTTGGGCAAATAGTGTCACAGCAGACCCTACGCATGCTACGCAGTCGCCTACGATGTGCACCCACATGCTTGCGTGGCATGTGAACAAGTCGCGGTGCCCTGCCTTGCCCTCTCTCGACCTATACTGCTCGAGGTCGTCAGGTTGTTCCATCGCCCGGCAACCGCACCCCTGCCATGGAAACACATGGTGTGCCGTGCTGCTCCACCCAGTGGCGTTTCTTCAGGGGTTAGAGATTCTCGGACAATCGAGAAACGCGTTCGACGCATTTGCTTGGCGAAACTCTTGATTCGTTCTGTGCTCCGCCATGACGTGACGTGGCATGTCGGAAGGGCTTGAGAGATGGGCTTGCAGGGGAGAATAGGACTCAAATGGTCTATACAGCAGCTCCTGAAAAGTGTTTGAACTTGTGCAAACAGCGGAAAAAGTTCTCAGCAGGCTAAAATTCAGAGTCTGACTAAACCGATACCACAACACAAGCCAACTGTCTGGTGACGACTGGAGGCGAGCGAACACCGCAAAACAGGTACAGCGCAGCTGCCCTCTCACCTTGTGACGTAGTGTCATGCACCGGCTCGTTCATAGAACTCTCGTGCTCTGTGACACCGAAGCATTGCTGAATTTAGTACGGTCAAGGGACCATCGAGGAAGTCAAGGCATGAACACTTTGTGAACTTCTGGAGGTCTATGTTTCTTGGCATTGGTCCAATTGGTCCATGGGACCTCGGAGTAGCAGGGGCTTGCAACCCACCTGCGCTAATCATGCCCTCCCACGCAAACTTGTCCTTGCAAAACAGATATCTACGAAGTTGTTTGAAATGGTACTGCCTGTCTAGCCTCGGCCTGACGTCGGTGCCGGTACTCGCACATGTTCGCACTCTGTTTGAGTGGACGATGTTCCTGAAAGTCGCTTCTTACGGACTGGGTGTGGTCGATGTCTGATGGTCTCGCTTCAACGCTACGCAGCCCAGCACTGTGACAGAACTCATCGACTTGCTTCTGTAATGTGAAAGAGCACTGCGGATGCAGAATTGGGAGGGAGGGGGGCAAGGGACAGGGGCGGAGGGGGGGGAGAAACCCGGGAGGCAGAGGGGGGTCGGGCGGGGGAGGGGCGGGGAAATGAATCCAAACAAAGTCCAACCTTTCGGACTGCAGAAAGGAGGACTAGGTGGAGGGTACCTGAGCCAACCTCCAAAACGCCTTGGCCTGTGGCCTCGGCGGATTTAAAATGAATTTGTTAGCATTCGCGAGATGTACGAGTGTGGGTGGAGGCAGCGGCTTTGCCCGTCATTCGCTTTCTCAAGCTCTTGGAGAGTTTTTCGGACTTGCTTGATGCCAGATCGTACTGCCGCACGGAGAACCACAAACATGCTGGGTGAGTGGCAGCACTAGCAAATACTCGTAATTTGCGCTTTGTGTTGTTTTTTGTTGTCATCGCATGCGGGATGCATCTCAATCTGTCGAAGCTTGTTCCACAACTTACTGAAAGCCTTGCCTTGCATCACTCTGGCGGAGCTTTCCTTCATAACCGTCCCCTTCATGAACTGTGTGAAAGGCTGGTATTATCTTGTCATCGCATCCTAATCGCATGTACTGGTGTGGTTTCCGTTGTGGCGCACAGCTCAACCTAAATTTGGTTCTCTGACAGGCTTGCTTACGATGGCGGGTTCCGTTATCGACAGAACCCGGTCCCGTCACATGGCGAAGGCGACCTCTTGCCCGCGACTCAAGCACTTGCAGAAGTAATATATCTCGCTGCGCAAGCCTTCTTGCAAGATGCTGAACTGAATGGACTGGAGGCAGGACAGAAACATCTTCATCTGTGGGTCCTGGACTGGGTTCAAGATGGAGGCAGCAACCGTATGAGGCCGATGTTGATGGGCGCCGAACCCGATGGGGCAGGAAATGGACAAAGATGGAGACAACCTGATCGGGCCTCACCTTTGTTCGGATTCTTGATGTCACCGTGTCTCTCTTTCTCTTTCTCTCTCTCTCCCTCTCTCTCTTTCTCTCTCACTCTCTGTCACTCCTCCGTTTCTCAGCCGCCCTGCCCCCCGCCTCCCTCTCTCCTTCCCTCCTGAGGTTCACCACAGTCATCACCCTTAGCGAAGAGAGGCCAGCCGGTTATTGTACAAGAAATATCAATTTCCTCTCTCTATCTGGCCGTTCTGCAGGTATGACTTGTTCGAGTTGTATGTGGATGAGAAGGAAGAGTGCCAGGCTCAGTTCAGGCCGAGTACGCTGCCAATGCTCAGCATATTGTGCATCAGTCTAAGGTTCTGCATTTTCCCGGCTGTTGATCGTGCTGGGCAGCACATTGCGACTGAAGGGCCTGGGGTCTGGGACTAAGCCCTAACGCACGAGGCGCACGAGAGTGAGCTTGTATCGTCTTGAGCGGTTCCGCAAAGAGGGCTACCGCGGACCAGCACACCTGTAGGGAATGTACCATCTGAGACTATGTCCGTGTGCTGTAGTGTGGAAGGTCCGGCTCTATGCTCTCCGCCATTTCAACGCATTGTACGTAGAGCAAGACAGATCAGCAGCATGTCATCCCGGAATCCCCTGGGCGGCGGCCATGGCACGAGCTCGTTCGACGAAGATTCAGGAAAATGAAGATCTACCCGGGCATCAGCCAGGAGTACCATCATCGCCGCCGCCGCCGCATCAGCTTGTTCTACACACGCCATCCATTGTGGCTTTTGCATTCTGGCATGTGGCAACTCCGACGGCTTGGCTGCATGAACCTGGGCGTTTGTATTGTGGCGGCTGTGCTGGGCATCACCGAGCCAGCGGCTCTCAAACAGCGGCCATGTTTCCGGACACACTTGGCGTGGGAATCGTGCGGCAACACCCGCGAGATAATGGCTGTGAGCGTCAGGTCTTCATGCACTTCACGCGTGCAGTTTCAAGGGTTGAAGGGCGACTTTCGCTGTGCAGTGGAAGATTGCAGTTGTTTCTCAGCCACTGGCCCTCAACTTCAGCTCTTGTGGCGGTGGCAAGCTTCATCCGGTACTTTCCGTCTGTGCGTTTAGAGATTCACTACGATTCAGCATTGCACGACTGGCCCGGGAAAAAAGGACAAATTGGAATGCTTGAAAACTTCGGTGCAAGCTTCTGCGTGTCGGTATCCAGTTCCAAGTCAGGTCAACAAGGACCACAACAAATGGATCATTGACGGCCGTGACACAGAGCTTGCTGCAGGAACGGTCTTCCCGGCCTGTTAACGCGGCTTTGTGCGGGACCGTCTTCTTCTTCTTGCAGACGAAGGTATCCAAGACGTCGTGTTGTCCCCAAGCCAGGTATTGCAGATAACCTTCAACTTCAGTCTCGCGCTCGGCAGAATCAGCAAATGCTGGGACTGTCGACTGCAGATGTGAAATTTCTCGCTGCTAAGATCCAGACCAGATGGCCGTGACGTGGAAGGAAGTTGGCGAGAAGCACTCGACACAGATTTTGATTGAGTTTATGTCAGCTTGCCACGACTGACGATGGTTGAAGTGTGTCGATGATGTCCCTTTTGGCTTGAGAGCAACAAAAACATGCTTGTAGTGGTCGCAAGCCCAAGCGACAGAGCAATGATGTCGGACAGGCTCAGAGTGGTTTCGCTCCCAGACAGCCCCATGTTATGCCGTCAGTATCCCCCCCCTAGCCTAAGCCCTAAGCACCCCAACAGCATTCTGCGAGCACAGAAACAAACATGTTGGAGACGACTTGTGAGTGAAAACTTAGCCGCATGTCTTGAGCTCTCCCAGATCGGCCGGAGGTCCAGGCCATGGGCCGTGCCCCAGCTGAATACTGTTTATACAAGCAGTTTGGCCATGTAGGGGTTTAGGGTCACCAGGAGATGTTTGCAAGATTTCGGAGTGTTTCCTGAGGAAAGAGCAGATCCAGCAGCAGCTCAGGGGGCAAAAAACGCAGCCGCAGCGGTCGTGAAAAGGAGCAGCTTCTCGGTGCTAGCAGTCGGGGAATGCCAATGCCGCTTCAGTTTCTGACGACTTGAGCCTGAACGTGGGGAGGGCCCAAGGAGTTCCAAGGTAGAAACTAGAAACGCTAGGCTCAGGAATTTGCCTCAGATTGAGAGCCGTTTCGGCGAATGTGGCCGCTGCTAATCGGCCCGGCAGGACAAAGCCAAGACCAAGAAGGACGCGAAGAAAGACAAGAAGAAGGCAGGCAGCCAGAATACCGAGAGACACTACCGGTCACTGAAAGCTGGATATACTCGTTCGGCTTTCCCTGTCGACAAGGAAAAAGAAAAGGAGAAAGATCGAAAAGACAAGGATGCAGAAAAAGAAAAAGAGAAGGCCAGGGAGAAAGAGAAAGCAAAGGAGAAGGAGAAGGACAAAGACAGAGACAAGGAGAAAGTGAAGGACAAAGATAAGGACAAGGACAAGGATCGAGATAAAGACAAAGACAAAGACAAAGAGAAGGCCAAAGATAAATCCAAGAAGGATAAGGAAAAGGACAGAGAAAAGGACAAGGACCGAGAAAAGGAAAAAGAAAAGGTCCGTGAAAAGGAGAAGGAGCACAGCAGTAAAGACAAGGACAAGGAGAAAGATCGCGATGCCCGGCTTGACCTTCGGTTGCTCACATGCTACACCGTACGAGCGGTGACTCCTTGACTGCATGAACTTCGTTGTTCATGCTGCTAAACAGCGATTGCTTCTATTGTCCAGTAGAGTCAAGGACAGAGATCGAGAAAGAGGCCGTCGACGCAGTACTTCTTCTGACTCAAGTAGCTTGCCTGATCGATGCACTTTCTTTCTGCTCAAGCCACCGATAATTCGACCGCGCTCAGGTAGTTCTGCCAGCAGCGATATGGGGCGGCGCATTTGGCCGATGGCTGTAGGTTTGGGCACGAGCAGCTTCCAGCTTCTGCCGCCCATGCTCCTTGGATCTGGACACGGAAGGAAGGAGTGCACGTGATCCCATGAAGAGATCACAGCACATTCTCTCAAGTGCAGCAAAGGAACGTGCATAATTAAGGCAAGCCTGGTTTAGAACGCAATGAAAACCACATGCATCAAGTAGTAACTTGAATGATAGACGTTGTCGCAAGATGGTGCACGGCATGGGGAGAAGGCTTGTGATGGTCTTAGCCAGCAATCTCCTGGCCCTCCATAAAGTATGCTCCGTCGTATTTCCTGTCGGAAGTGTTACGAGGAGTTGGCGTGAGTTTGGTGATGTTTGGTGTTGGTAGCTGGTGGACCACGATGTCGTGAGCTCTGTGCGATACACACAGAGAGAGAGAGAGAGAGAGAGAGAGAGAGAGAGAGAGAGAGAGAGAGAGAGAAAGAGAGAGAGCAAGCAAGAGAGAGAGAGAGAGAGAGAGAGTGTGTGTGTTCCACCCGAAAGCATCTTTAAATGCATCTAGGGACTCTCACTCGTAACCTTGTCACTGTCCACGATATCCTAAACCACGACAAATCGGGGAATACCCCTGATACCATGGCCCTGGGACGACCTCGAGTGACAGTCTATCCTTCCGTTTGGGGCTTGCTACATTGATGGTGTACCCTTTTCATTGGTCGGATTCCAGTTGCTGAGGGCAGCCGTTAGCCCTTATGGCGCCTGACTGCCGTGAGTTTGCTTCACTCCAATCCTGCTCCGCAATGTCGGGGGCGCACGAGCGCGCGGTGTAGGGGGTAAAGCCCCCGCACCATAGCCCTGGCCAGAGAAAGAGAGAGAGAGTTGCTGACTTGCTGATGTTGTTGCTTGTGAGATGGACCCTTTTCATGCTTCGGCGAAACCTGTCAACACGCACAGCCGAACGGGCGAAACCCCAGGGGGGAACAAAGGACACTCCACGAGTAGCGGGATTGCGTTCGTGCACGGGGGGAGTGGCCCGGATGCTGCCGCGACCCCCACACCCGGAAGAGAGAGAGAGAGAGAAAGCCACTGTCGGAGCCGGGCAACACTAGTGCATAGCGTGTGCCACAGCGCAGTTAGCAGAGTTGTGGAAGTTTTTCCGATACAGTGTGCCTGCCGCCAGCTGCACTCAGGATTCAGGGGGGGTGGGCAAGGTGCAGGCAGTGTTGCGCAAAGTCTGTTCGGGATAAGGTGGGGAGGTAACGCGAGACTCGTACGGCGGGGGTACAGAGCCCACAGCAGGTACCCAGGGGGAGTGGAGCTTCCCAGGGCAGTGAAAGAAGGGACGGAACAAGTGTAGGAACAATGCATCCAACGGGAACGGCCGTACAGGTAGATTGCTGTTGAAGACCAGTCCCGGCAACAGGCCACTTTCGCGTAGTTGTAGATTTGCTTGGTACCTCAGCGGTGCAATCGGAGTTTTGTATGCTGCCAACTCAGGCGCTCCGTAGGGGGTTGAAAGTCAGGCTTCAGGGGGGGTGGGAAGGCAAGGCAGTGCAGTTGCACAAGGGTCAGTTCGGTGTGAGGTGGGGAGGCAGGTGAGGTCGGGATAAGTAAAGTCGGACTGCGGTTTCACCAGGGCCACAGGGGGTGGAGCCCGTGGTGGAACGAGGGTCCAGGAAGAGTCCTACTAGGCGCAGCACCACTGTTCTGAGCATCGGTGTTGTTTGTACGGGAGCGAACCTGGACCCTAGATACCTTGCAAATTTGGGGGCCGGCGAATATCCCTGAAATGTGGCATTATAACCTGTGGGGACATCAGCCTGGGTGTGTTAGAGTCGTACAGTCTGGAAAGGGACAGCCGGCCCACACTGCTGACCAGTTGGGGAAGACCACGGATGACTCGAGTGATAACCAGGGCTTCGATGGTCATGGTTTGGTTGGTTTGGGGGCCGGGGATTGCCGGAGCACTCGAGGGAATGTGTCTGTCATCCCAACCCCGAGAGGGGCCTCGAAGACGCACAGACGCGAGCCACGGGCTTCGGGCCGGGGTGCGTGCACCCGGACCCCTTCGCAAGCAAGCAAGCAAGAGAGAGAGAGAGAGAGAGAGCGAGAGAGAGAGAGAGGGCTCGATGTGACTGAGTATACTTGTTGCATTTCTGTGCACTGTTTTTCCATACGGGGGAAGATTACCAAAAGGGAGAGTGATTGCCCGGCCCTTAGTCATTTGATCCTGTATGTCATTGGTTGTCAAGCTGTCTTTGCATAAGAAGCCAGGAGACCTGTGATATGTTTCAAGTTATGGCAGGCACGAGGGGGAACTTTGTAAGAACTCAGGTATCGCCTGTATGGCCCGTAGGGAAAGCTGTGCCTTGTTTCTCGCAATACAAACCCTTTGTCTGCCATAAAACTTTAGGTTGATGCACTGTCAATACAATCCCCAGAAATACCCTTTGTGTGGAATTCTATGTTCTTACCTTATATATGATCGGGGGATTCGGCATGTGCTGTGTGTCTTGAATGAACAGGGGGACATTGTAAACCGACATCGTATATTTTATGGCTATAGCCTTTTACAATGTTCACTGTTCTTTTTCACCCCCCGTGTCCGTCAACACGACGGGTGGGCATGCTGGCCGGGGGCGTTGACCCGTCCCCATGCCCGGGAGAGAGAGAGAGAGAGAGAGAGAGAGAGAGCTCGAAAAGAAAGAGTGTGAGGAGTGCACACATCAATGTCCAAGGGACGTATTTTGCATGGAATCCTATTTTTTCCAGGTATTTTTTGTTTTTCTTTGGGTATTCTTTTTGTTTTTGGTTTTGCCTTTCCGGCTTCTGGGCTTTCCTTGCTGGTTTGTTGTCGTCTTCTATTTGGCTTCTGGGCTTTCCTTCCTGGTTTGCTGTCTTGTTGGCCTGCTTCGCGTTAAACCTAGTTGGCTTCCTGGCTTCTTCACCTGGCCTGGCTTCCTGACTTCTTCACCTTGGCTTTTTTTGGCTTCGTGGCTTATCGGATTCCTAGCTTCTGGGTTCTCGGCTTCTTGGCAAGAAGGGAATCGAATCCTAATTATTTGAGGATTTTTTGTTTTTTTCTTGGCGAATTTGTTTTGTGTTTTTGTGTTTTTTGCTTTCCTCTGCTTTTCTGCTTTCCTCTGCTTTTGTGCTTATCTGCTTCTCTGCTTTTCCGCTTCTCTTGCTTCTCTGCTTTTCTGATTCCTCGCTGCTGATTCTCTGATTGTCTGCTTCGTGTTTTTTGTTTTAAGTTCTTGCTTGCAGCTCTTCCCTGCTTTAGTGTTTTTTGTTAGTATTTTTACGTTTGTGCTTTTGCTTTTCTCTGCTTTTGCTGTCATCCTCTTTTCTGCTGCTCTGCTTTTCTGCTTTCCGCTTCTCCTGCTTCTCTGCTTTTCTGCTTCTCTGACTGTCAGATAATCATAAATGAAACGTCTTCACCGACAGACAAGAAGAAGGCGAACGCCAGACGTATTCGCTGGGGAGTAAAAGAGCAAGAAGACAAAAAAAAGTGAAAAAGAGTCTCCTATGTAAAACGAATAAATGGTTAAAAGCGTCTTCTCCAACACACAAGACTGGAGAAACCACACGAAATCGCTTCAGGGGGTAAAAACGAAACAACAAGGTC